TCAAACATCAAAACCAAACAAAAACCAAAAACACTAAAACCAAACAAAAAACAAAACCACCAAACATCAAAACCAAACCCCATCAAACATTAACACAAAACAAAACCAAACAAAAAACAAAAAACCATTAAAAACCAAACAAAACAAAAACACCAACATCAAACCAAACATCAAACCAAAAAACAAAACCAAACAAAACCAAAACCACCAAACATCAAAACCAAACCCCAACCCCTTGCCAATGACGCCACGACTCCCCCCCAACAGAAATTCCTCGAGGACAAAGGCTTCAACGAAATCGCGAGATCGAGCACAGGGTTCTCCACCTTGGCCTCCGCTGCGTGCTCTCCCACTTCAATCGTCAGGTTTATTTGCAATTTAATCCACTTCCTTATCGACGGTCCAACATCGGATTATGTGGATAAGGTGAGGCTCAATTTTTTTTTTTTTTTTTTTGGGGGGGGGGTGAATTTGCATTTTTTTTTTTTTTTTTTTTGTAAGAATTTGTTTGTTTTTTTATTTTTTTTTCACTTGGTAATGATTAAAATCGTTGTATTCTCAGCGATCCAACGATAGATCATATTATCCTAAGAATATCTGTATCATCATCTTCATTTCACATTATTTTTATTATCCTCATTTCACCTTCACTTCAGTATATCCATTTCACCTTCACATCATCATATCCAGTTTTCATTCATCACTAGTTCACCTTCACTTCATTTTCCCTACTTCACTTTCACTTTCACCTTCACATCATCACCCCCATTTTACCTTCACCTTCACCTTCACTCCATTAGCCCCATTTCACTTTCACTTTCACCTTCACATCATTACCCCCATTTCACCTTCACCTTCACCTTCACTCCATTTTCCCCATTTCACTTTCACCTTCACCTTCACATCATCACCCCCATTTCACCTTCACCTTCACTCCATTATCCCCATTTCACCTACACCAATTTCACCTTCACCTTCATTAACCCCCTTTCACTTTCACATCTTTTTCCCCATTTCACCTACACCAATTTAACCTTCACCTTCACTTCATTACCCCCCTTTCACTTTCACCTTCACCTCCTCGCAGGATTACCTCCCGGTCATCTTCGCTCACACTCCAGCCGGAACTTCTCGTCGGGTCGTGACTCACTTCCTCCAGGTCATCGCCTCAGGTAAGACGCCTTGAGGAGGTCTCGCACTTTCTCAAGATCTGATCTCGGTTTATCCCGAAGATGATGATGTATGATGATGTACGATGGTGATTTGTATGATGTTTTCTGTTGTATTTCCGATGTTAAGTGATATTTTCGATGTTAAACGATATTTACGAAGATAAACGATATTTTCGAAGATGTTAAACGATATTTTCGATGTTAAATGACATTTTTGAAGATAAACGATATTTTCGAAGATAAACGATATTTTTGAAAATGTAAAACGATATTTTCGATGCTAAACGATATTTTCGAGATTAACGATATTTCCGAAGATGTTAAACTATATTTTCGATGTTAAACGATATTTTCGAAGATAGACGATAGACCGTTTAACGGTATTTTCAAAGATGTTAAACGATATTTTAGAAGATGTAAAATTATATTTCCGAAGATGATGTTAAATGTAATGTTTTTAAACATTATTTCCAAAAATGTTTTACTATGTTTTTTTTATGTAAAACCATATTTACGGAGGTGAGGTTAAGATAAAACTTTATTTCCGATGTTATTAAACGTTATTTCCGATGTTATAAAACGTTATTTAGAATGTTGTTGTTTATTAGATATATATCCGATGAAAAACAATATTTCCTTAGATGTTAAACGACATATCCTTAGACGTAATTCCTTATTATATTATTTTCCTTATTTTCCTTATTTACTTCCAGAGCGATTCCAAGCATACGACCACGGGACGAAGAGGAATATTGAGAAATATGGGTCAGTGAATCCTCCCGTTTACTCCCTCAAGAGAGTCAGAGTTCCTGTGGGGATCTTTTGGTCAGAGAACGACTGGGTTGCTGATCCAAGGGTAAGATGTGCTTTATGATGTGTGTATGTGTGTTGATTGTGGTGTGTTGTGTGTGTGTGGGGGGGGGTGGTTGGTGTGTGTGTGTGTGTGTGTTGGTTGTGTGTGGTTGTGTGTGTTGTTGTGTATACGTGTGGGTGGTGGTGGTTGTGTGTGGTTGTGTATAAATGTGTGTGAGTTGTGTGTGTGTGTGTGTGTGTTGTGTGGTGTGCGTGTGTGTGTGTGGTGTGTGTGCGTGTGTGCTTGGGATTTTTTATGTGTATATTGCAATATCGCAACTGTAATTATATGTAAAACGAGTACAAAATATGTATAAAAGTCAAAGGATATTTATTTTTCGGTACTTACCCCTCCCCTCACCTTACACTTCACCCTACTCCTTACTTAACTCTTCACCCCACACTTCACCCCCCCCCCTTATTACTTCTTACCCCCTCACACCCACCTTTAATACAAATTTCCTTTCGACCCTTTT